ACTGCCTTTAGCGAAAATACTGCTTTAACAGAATAAGGTACCGAGTCAACATTTGGACTTTTTCGGCGTACGGTTCAGCTTCTGATAAACAATTTTTCACTGGAGTCGGTATATAAAAATGGTCCTTTGATTAACACAGCCGTTTAGTTCCTTTGTGTCGATATATATATATAACTGTTACAGTTTTTACCTGTTTATAAAGATAATATTTTTTCGTTTCCGATTTATTAATTTTATAAGTGCTTTATTAATTAGACAAGCAAGCGAGTGATCTAGGATTACAATGAAAATTTTCCATTTATAGTATTATATTTAAATAAATCATTTTTTATTTTTAGTATGTAAATAGCTAGCCTTTTGCAACTAATGTAGAATGGAATATTAGCTATCAATAATATTTTTATTCTTATAAACCCATGTTCTATGTCTAATTACAAACGTATATAACAGATAACAAGATAGTATATTTGCTTAGATCACACAACATGTGATAAGATCGATATAAACTAAGATGGCGCCACATCTAAGCGTTGTCCTCATAAATGTATTTTGTAATAACTAGTTATATTGATATTTACAACAATCCATATCTAGTGTCTGCTACTTCCTATCTCTGAGTCTGTTGTGTGCATCTGCTAAGGAAACTATAAGAACAATGTTATAATTATTTGTGAGTTCCGAGGAAACAGATAGCCAGTGCTTTAATACTAGCAACGGATGCTTCACAACGAAAGATAACTGTTGGTATGAGTACTTCTATTAGCTAGCGTGGAAGAGGATGCACGCATGCCTCTAATGGGTGTATTTTAAATTAAATATTAAGCAAGAAAATTCGCAAAAAACGGCGTCTACTAAAAACGTATAGTTTATCTTAAAACGCTACTGGTATATTCAGTACTTAGTGATTATGCTACACAATTATTACGAAATTTTACATTCAACGTAGACATTTAACCGGTGACCAGCACCGAGAGAAATATAGCAAGATTGTGATCTCATTTTATAGATCATCTGCGAAGATAAATAGGGCATGCTTTCATTAGGTAAAAATTATCACGTCATGACTATAGCACTCAACATAAACTGTTAGATCCGATAAAGGATCGAAGACAAAGGGAGCTGAGTTTCGGAGAAGCGATCGAAAACAAACTATATACAATAGACGAGCTTTGTAATGGTGGTATTTTTGTTATTATTTATTATGTAGGTGATTGTCGACATAAATACGAAGAATTAGCCTTGATTCTAAGTCACTCGTTTTACTAGCACCATTTGGTGTAGTTTGTCCGCAGTAAATTTTGGCATTTTCTAGCCAGTAGTATGTAATAGCTTTTAATTTTGTTTAAAATTAAAAATTATCGTTTACATTCACTTTACGTGCTTGAATCAGTCATTGTATAATGCTTCACTGAAGCTGTATAAACAGCAAGTCATAATTTACTCTGCGTAATTCTATAATAATTTCAGTCAGTTATGATTATTATTAATAACACACTGATTGTTGTAGCAAATGTTAAATTCTTACAAATTCGAGCTTCTGTTTGAAGAACACATCATTTATGTGCCATCTGCGAAACCCTATCAATAATACCTACAATTGTCCACCTAACAAATTATATTCATTATTATATATTATATTCAATATATATATATATTCAATATATATTATATTCAAATTATATTCAACTGACATGAAAGCAACCCATCATCGACGCGCAAGATTCGCCTGGGCATTTGGATGTCGGAAAGCATTTTCACTTAGGGCATCCATAGCAGTATCAGCATCTCCCACTAATGTCCACACATACGAAGAAGCTGTATAACAATGTACGCTAATTTACCATCATTAAATGTTTGGCACAAAATTATGATAAAACACTAGAATAAGGCGCTACCTACAAGACTCACAGATTGATTAACTTCTTGTGAATAGACGTCAGTGTTAAGAATCTCGGTTATTACAACATCTAAGTGTCCAATAAACATACCGCAGAAATGACTGCAGGAAAGCGCACACCCTCGGACTGTGGTTGAGTCTCGTAGTTAAATACATGAGTATTGGCAACATTTGCATATCAGGCCTAATAATTAATATTTGAAATTTAAACTGTTGGCGGACATTTTTAGGCGCGAATTTCAAAGTGCAAGCGCGAAGTTCACTTTATGTTCATTTTATTTCTTGGGAAAATACATGTAGAAAATGCTGTGTTTTCTCGGAAGTTTTCTGTTAAACATCGCTTATAAAGAGGACGTTCATTTTCTAAACCAATTAATTAAAAAAGTAGTTTTTTTTTTGTTCTATGGTAATTATGTTACGTCGATTTTTAGCGCTGTCTGTTAAAAAAATTCGAAATTTTTTGACCGAATGTTGCATTTTCATGGCGAAGGAACTTTTCTTTTTTAGGAATAAAATCACATTAGCAGTATGATAAAGTCATATCGTCGAAACGTAGAGGTTTACCGTTTGTCACTTACCGCGTGAAAATAATCTTTAAATTTGAAAACCATGAATTTACAGACTTGTTCAATCTACAAGTCTCTAGCTAATAGATACAATAAGTCTATTTCCAACAGTCACAGCGCATCGGTGAGTTCTATCCTAACACAAAGAACAATGAAAAAGGCCTATGCCTGTGTTTACTCGATCAACAAGTTTTAGAATGTATAAAGTCACAAGATGATTTCTATGATTAGCCCGTCTGGAAATGACCGTTTAGCGTAAACCACTTAACGTACTTTGGTACTTCATATCCCGAAAATAAATTCGTCTCTTATTTAGGTACGCTGATTTCTTTCAAGCGAACTGGTGTAACCCGACAACCCAGCTCTTGTGGGTCATACGGGGGTGTCCCGTATATAGAAGATTTTGATTTCCAAATTCAATGTACGTATATTAGTAGCTTACGACAGCAAATTCGATTCGAAGTACAGAGGGCCGTTGTTACTATAAAAATGTATTTTAATTAATTCATATAATTTGTAATTCAGTTTGCTCATTTACGGACTAGTTTGTTTGATTTAGTTCGCAACCAATTTATTGACTAATAGACTAAGAAACATATAGGGCTGGACGTGTTCTAATATTTAGTGAGAGCTGTCTCTCACGCAGTATTGAATCGGCGAAATAACTATATAAAATAAACTTCTATGGATTGGTGGAATGAAAATTATTCTCTTTTAAGATGGCTCATAAGGAACTTTGGGATAAATGAAATACATTACAATAATTTTACTGTCGATATATGTAAGTCAGTCACTACATGACTGCAAGTAGAGTTGTTCTCTCGTCTAGCACTGGTGTAATCGGCATAAACGGCATAAAAAGACGTCAATACAAATGATTGAAAGAAACGCTTTATGTGACCCGCATCTCATTCTAAACTAAATTCTAACCTGTATATCTATTATAGACACTACAGGGAAGCATGGCGCTTCAGATAAAGTTGTCTGTATCGCTTCTATAAGTTTTGGCTATATGCGGCTGGACGAAAAGGCTGTTTTGCCGTACAGGGCTCCATTGGATGATTTAAACACCTTGCGTACTAATCTTGGGACCGGGAGAACGTCAAGCTTATGAGAAGTGTCATGACAACAAAGCATTTGATGGCATCCTAAGTTGCAGAAGCAATTTACGGGCAATAATAGGAAGCTTACTATTTTTTCATGATTTCAGATTGCTGTGCCAAATCGGAAAAATTAATTTTGCTGAGACAAGTGCTCTTGGGACCTTAGAATTGTTCAGAAGCACAAAACCACGCTATTGAACTTGCTTTGCAGTTCTATGTTAAAAAATCTTGTGATTTTTAGCTACTCCTTTACTCTCAAAAAATATATAAACAAACAATAAAAAAATATTAATTTAGAAAAAATACTAAGTCTTCGTTAGGGGCCTGATTTGAGACTACACGTCCTATTTATTCCACACCGCGGTAGCAAGATGTACAATATGTCTAGTAAAGTTACGAAGTATAACAGCTAGTAAAGTCAAGAAGTAAGGTTTTATAGTCTCAGTGGTGCTTACATAAATGTATGTGTTGTGCTTTGAAGTTACCTTTACGGGCGAGACTATCTACGGATTACGAAAAAGGCCGCTATTCCACAGTAACTGGGCGGAGGCACTTATTATTATTATTATTATTATGTTATTTCTTCTGTCACCAATGTTTAATTGCCATATCCCAATAACGATTTCCAGCTGCTCTATCTGCAACTGTACGTTTCACATATTGTGCGGACACGTTCCAATAATGGCCAGGCGATTTTTAATAGAAAAGTACATATCCTCCGGGTTAGTAACCCTTCCACGGGTCGGGGCTAAGTCTGAAGTCTTTCACCACTTTGCTTAAAAATGGTTAGTGACGATTTGCGCGCAGGATCAGCGTTAGACTATTAGAGAATAAATAAATGCTGTGTGGTCCTCAGTACGAATCAGCCTCTAGACACGAAATGCGTCCACTTTCAACAGTACTTTCCTGTTTCACCGAGTCGAAATACGGCTTCTGTGAACATCTCATTATCTTTATAAGATCATGAAAACCGAATTACAAACTAAAAAATTGTAAATTTCAGGCTACGTTCTAACTGATGCAAGTTTTCACCGGTTAAAATCTGTTTGTAAAATTAATACCTATCTATCATTTAGCTAAAAACATTGTCGCTGCCATTGCTAGTTCAGTTGGACTCACGGCTCCTGGACAACGCTCCGCAACGTAGCAACTGCGTATAGAAGATGAATAACTAAAACTTAAAAAAAACCAAGCAGCGCTTATCTCCACCAAGAATAGGATTGATTTTCGGAAACTTGTTGGACGCCATTAATCAAATTTATCGACCGAGTAAAGTTATAGCTGATTTTCAAAGTATCATCAAAGTCATACGCCAAGTACTAAACGTTACCGGCAGAAAGAGCTACTGATTATAATTGTAGTTTGTTATATTGGCTATCGTGAAAAGAATCGAAAAAGGATCCTTTACGGATTTGCCTGCAAAAACGTCCCTAGTGGCTTTGGCTACGACATTGTTATTTTTATTATTATTATTATTATTGACAGAAAGTGATGCGAATTTTCGCAAGGTTCGTTTAGTTCATTAAACAATAAACACCTATTTGTATGTTTATATAGAAATTATATTTCAATCGAGCTCATTTAGCATAACTAATATCAGAATTATATAGCACAGGATACTCGTATACAAAATACACTTAAACCGTATGCTGAATAATAAGTACAACATATTTCCTGAGTCCATTTATTTTTTATCTAGTAATCCTAGAATAGATGACTAATTATATGTTTATCTCTTTTTATAGAAATTTAAAAAAAAATAGCAAAACAATTTAATTTTTGCCAAAAATTTAGAAGTCCCGCATTTCCTCGTGTGGAAAGCCTTTCGAACTTAGAACCCCTGATCAATTAAAGCTATCAAAATTTGCAAAGACATTAAATTAGTATAGCGTACCCGTTTGCACTTTTTCATCTTCATTTGAAAAAAAAAAATAGCTACTAGTCAAAGCTAGGCTTCATCCATCGGCTAAGAACAGGCGGGAAATTGAAGACATCAGGCTGTCCCTCATGTCGAATGACCTGATTAAAATCAGACTGCCTCCAGCTAAATGTCGGCTGTTGGTCGTTGGTCGGACCACACTGGATTAACATCGCAAATTCTCGGACCATTGTCGAGTTGGTCACCTTTAGATTACGAAATATGGCAAACAACGATAATTTCCGTAAGAAGTCATTCACAGAATTAACGACGTAGGTTTCAGAAGGGAGATGTAGCCCTGAGCTATAGTTTCTATAATTTCGGTAATGAAAAATGCCTACCAATTAGGCACGCTATTGAGCAAAAAAAGAAGCTTCTTCGTACATTTCATGCGAAACGTTAGAGTACGACTTACCTTGACGTCAATAGCCCCACGCGGCCGGTGTCCAAGAGCGGGGAAGGGGTATGTTCCGTTGGCGGGGTTGAGATCACCTCTTGCAGCAACTGTGTTTTCGGCCGAGTACGGAGGGGTACAATTGCATTTTGAAAGTGGATCGTTTTTGTAATCGTTGTACCTGTGAATTAGAATTGAAGAAATAAGTTCTATTCGTAAAATTTCTATAAGCCGAACTGCGAACTGCAGAGGTATGAAATGAAAAATGAAAGGTGACTGCAGTGTCTCGAATTCTCTCGTAGTTTCTGACGCTATTTAGTTTAGGCGAAACTAACCTGAGAAGACGGCGGAGTCCCTCAACGCTAACAGCTTTGCCGTGATCGCGCTGGAAGATAAGAGCCCGCGCAGTCTTGTCGTAGGTATACCAGTCACCGTACTTCTTTACTAAATCCCATTGGCCGCTGATGTTGAAAATATCCGGGAAGTACCTGCGGTGCGGTGCGGCGCATAAACAAGTGTTAGGGTATCAATTACATAACGTTCACGCAATTCCTTGGAGAAAAGCAGACGTAACTTTTGAGACACATTTATAGTTGAGTGCAGACTTGAGCGAGCACAAAAACAAAATCAATCATATTAAAAATTGTATACTCACGCAATATTGTAGCTTGGCCAGAACCTGTATTTCTGCAGGAACCATGACATGTCCCGGCGTTGAACATAGCCCCTAAATATAGAACATGCATGGCAGCAGTTCAAATAGTGCCCATCTATAACGATTCGGTTTAAATGCGCATTGAATTACAGATCCAGCAAACAGTAATAACCATAGTAACAGCAAAGATGACTACCATAAGGAAACTAACGATATGATCTCTATTTCCAACATAGCCTCCCAAAGGAGTCTCCCAACTTACGGCATCTGTTCAAGAACGTAGAATGCTCCTTCTGGTAGCGGTTCTCCACTTCTGAATAAATTATAATTGAGTATCATCCACTGATTGTTGTATCTGAAACGCGTTGATGACGTGTCACACAACCGAGTTAGGTTTCAAGCCGTAATTCCCATACGATGACAAGCGCTGTCGTGCATAAAATGTTGTGAATAACAGCGACGGCACGCCACCTGGCTCTTTGACTGACTCAATTCCCTGTACACTTGAGCTGTGAGGGATATTGTTAGACAGCATTTTACCCCAGCAGCCAGAAACCTAACCCCAGCATCTGGTCAAGTGGCTACCGCAGCCGAACAGAAAATTTAACGTGAATAATTTTCCTTACGTACGTTCCGGAGTTGTTGTATGCGTATAGTTCGACCCATTCCTCACAAGAGGCGGCCAGACGGTTGGCAACGATATTTCGAATCCACGATGGAACGGTTCCACGCGGCGTAGTATAGGAATAGAGGTGTTTGTTGTTGTTCTCAATGGTTGTCTCGGTCACAACCTAAATAACATACGCCGTGTATCGAGAAGGCTTTTTAAATTAACATGTCAAACTGCAATATGAACTACAGCTGAGTCGCATCGTAAGTTAACATAACGGCAAACGGTCTTCCATTTACAAATAGACAGTAAATTATGAAGGCGTAGATAAACAAATTGCAATGGTCACAAAACGTTTCTCGTCAATGTAACTTTAATCCTAGCAGCTCTCCCGATTACGAGTGCTCCAGTGATCGAAAGGATATTTTCATTTAAGGCTAGATTGAATCTGCCGGGCATAATCAGGTACGCTTGTTGTATGCTAATACATATACTGATGTAACTTGAGCGAGAAAATCATGTGACAATATATTCGTTAATATCATCGTTTACGTAAACGTACCAGCCCACTAGACAGGACATAGAAATCATCTCCAGAGATCAATCGACCAGGATATGATGAGAATGCTGCGCCATTTCCAGGAACTGACTCGTCTTAAAAACAGCAATCATGACGTAAAAATTGAGCGTCTATTTTCGATTATGTGCAGTTATGCGGTTTATTTATTAGTGCAACCATGCTAAGACCTCTAGAGCTTGTTAAACTTCCACAATATCCCAGTATTTATAAAAGACGTGATGTCGTCCTTAGAATAACAAAATGTTAAAAGAAAGGGCTTAAATAATGGCATACAAATGTGTAAAACTCACTGCTATCGAACGTTTTGTGGTACTGAAATGTAAACCTCTTCTGTATACGTAGCATGGCGTTATAGCCCGTCCAGGTGTTATGGCCGGCGAGGAGGTCACGGTCTCCTTCTGTTAAAGCGATCAGAGCAGAGCAAGACGATTTTGCACCAGGCGCCTCTTCCTTCAGCTTGCCCAGTTTCTTTTCAAGATCGCAAAGATCACCGTGAAGATTCATTTGCCTTTACTCAGATATTCAGTTGATCACAAAGAAATATATTGGGTCGTCGAAGAAGTATTAAGCCCTTTTCTAGCTAGCCCGCTTTAAAGCCGTAGGTACCATGAGTTAACTTTGGCGCAGTTCAAAAGCTAAGATTTGGCACTCGTAGATGTGTACCAAAAAAAAGTAGACAAACCACTGGAATGCCTTTATTTAGACCTAAAATAGGATGCATTGAAGATCAGTAAAATTCCTGCAAGAAAACTTACTATATTTCGCAGTTTTATTACACATAAAAAAAGCACAAGTGCTACCGAGACCCATAAGAATATATTGACTGTTTTTGGTTATCTCAAGTGAAATGGCCACAGGATGCTTCGGTCGTTTCCACATTGCGAGAGATATTCCTCGTAGTGGATGATCAATCACGTAAGAAGTTGGTGATGTTATCACGAAAGCTGAACGTTAGTAGCCATGATATCGTCAAAGAACTAAAGTTCAATTACCAAGTAGTTTGATTCAATAAGTTGAAGAAAGTTAGCTAGAAAAAGGTTCGATTTACTCGATCGTATTTCCATCTGCAGACCTCTACCGAAATTGATCGAATTCGGGCTATCTTTGAACGCGACTAATCACAGGTGATGAAAAACTGATTACATACAGTAATAATGTTCAAATTAAAAAATATATGGCTGACACTGAAGGAGGTGATGCTGAGCGTGTGATGGAATTGGAAAAGGACTGTGCAATATGAACACGTCGCTGCCATCTGACAAAATGACGGATTCAAACTTCTGCTGTTACCATTCAACAAAATTAAAGCGAGCTCTTGAACGAGAAGTCGACTGGAACAGGTACGCAAAAAAGGTGTTATGCTGTATCGTGATAATGCCAGACCACATACATCTTCAACTGCCCGGCAAAGCGCGACAAAGTTTCAATGCCATTCACCATATAGAACGGATCTTGCATTATCAGACGACAATACTTATTCGGTTTTTTTTTTTTATCAGGACTTTTTTAATAGCGCTAATTCACTTTTACTGGGGAGGTGCAGAAATCACTTGTCGGAACTTTTCACCCGGAACCCACAGAAATTCGATAGTAATAGGATTATGGTGTTACCGGAAAAATGACAAAAGGTCATCAGCTATGATTTTAAGATATAAAGGATGTTTGCTTTCATTTCACCTTAAAAGCAATAAAGTAAAAAGGCTGACGTACTCTAACGATCAGGGCGCTGCGGGCCAGATAAAAAATGCAAGTTTTCTTATCCTGCATGTACACTCTAAATGTTCTCAAATAAGTCACAGTCATAGCTGCTCGTCAATTTCAGAAAGGCTACTTCTGATTCAGAGCACATATCTCATATTCTGCCTTAATAATTTCGTACAAAAGTACACAGAATAAGCGATCATTTTCTTTATCTGTAATACTTACATGATATTAGAGATATTAGGGGTCAGGTTTTCACCGACGTAGACATAGTAATCTTCCATACGAATCCCCGATTCAATACCCGCGAGTTGAACTAAAACCAGACCAACCTATTTGATGATCGAACAGAGTGAATGCTTGATCAATTAATGGCGCTAGATTGTTATTTAAAAAAAAAAAACAACAAACTAAATAGATGGTAAATGGATGCCCACGTCAGGTCAAAAAGGCATTACTTGTAAGCACACTCAACTTACGTGTCGGTCGATGTCTACTATGCTTTCCTATCTACTATTTTATACCAGAAAGGGTAGCTAGATGGAGATCCATGCGTATACGTCTGGATCATTTCGAAAACAACTTTAAATAGTTAGAAGATCTGTTTCTTAAAAAAATATTTAATTTAAACAGAAAAAACGATGATGATGTCAACGCCGTTTCTAGGAAATATGGCATTTATGCTAAAGCACATTGAAACAATATTCAATATATAGCCTTATAGGCGCTTTGTTAGCACACGGGTGGATTGACACATTACAGACACTAAATTAGACTTCGTTGAAATATTCTGTCTCACCTGGTGCCAATAGGGAACGGTAAAGCTGTATTTTTCTACCATCTCGAGCATGTAAGCTAAATTAGTCTGAAGGAAGAGATGAAGCTTTTCACAGTAGACGGCGTTTCTGTCACAGTAATCCTGATACTCATTTCTGCAACAGTAAAAATCAACACTAAAGTCAATATGACGCTTACTTTAACATGAGATACTCGTTTGAAATGAAATAGAGTTATCATTAAATGATCAACGGATCCTGTACACTACAACGGAGCAACGTTGCAGTTGCTGGGTGTATAGTGTACAGGCAGCTTTACAGTACTTCACGTATAACGTTGCCGGGAAAAAGAAAATATTTAAAAACTAATAGGAACGTTCATTCGTCGAAATACCTAAGCTGGTTTTCTATAGGCCGATTTATATTTTTGCTATTATATAAATAGCAGTAGCACCTAATAATAACACTGTACTCATACCGCCATTGCTTTTCAATTAGGTCTTTTGTAAGTCGAGCCTCCAGAAGGCCTGCAGCGTACGCCTGATGGTAGTCAAGGTAAGCTCCATTAAGCGAATTCGTGTGAATCTCGAGGAATCCCCAACTGAAAAGCTCACGATAAAAAGAGACAAAAACGATTTTTATTTTCACGACGTTGTAATGATAAAAATTTGTATGTGTTTCAAGCAATAGGTATTTGTACGTCTTTCGAACGTATAATCCACCATAGAGTTACTATCCCATGATGATGCAAAAGAATACTTCGAATTTTATTAGGTTAAGCCTTAAACTGGCCTTCACCCGTAATACTCGTTGTTTCGTCCGCAGGTAATCCAAAGTTACGACACAGATTTGTCCTGTCGTTGTGGTGCCTTGGCTGGCAGCCACCAGATTACGTCATTCCTAAAAATTTAACGCTATTGTCCATGCCAATTGTCCCAAGAATGTTTTCATATAAAACTTCCTAGATGTTATTCGTTTAGTTATGGCCAACAAATCCGTCACTTTAGCTTTTCATTTATTTATTTAACGGGAAACATCGGGTGTGCCTGTAATTGTAATTACATCTATTAGAAAAATTAGGCTAAGTACTTTTTGCGTTTATCACCGTGACGCTTATTCTTGGACGGTAAAGTTCAACTACGGAATCTGTATTCAACTCAGTGGCAGACAAAGATGTTTTATTGATTTTTAAAATAGTTTACATAAACTTAGCGATCATCCTTCTCAACGTGGCGCATTTAACAACGGTCAGCTGCATAGGTTTTGTTATGGGTAAATCATTGATGTACAGTGATTATGACGTTCAAGCATTAGCAATTGACGCGACTGTTCTTCGTTTTGCTTTCAAAAGCCAGCTTGGCTACAAAGCTTATCCGAAAGTTCCTGACGCAAATACAGGTGCTCCTTCGCGACGACCATTTACTACTATAAAAACCCTGTTTGTGGCCTTTCGTATCACAGCCCGTTTAAGCGTAGTAGCTGATGTCATTTGTTTACTCACTAAAAGAATGGCAGCAGCCAGAAAATGCCCATGCGGCCAACATCAGCCGCCCGCTCCTCACGTCAATATTGTTTCGTTTTGATCTACTTGGAGAGTTCAACACAGTGACCGTTATGCGCGGACAGTCACTAGAACCTACAGCTTAAAGGGCCACCAAGCTGGCCCTCATCAAGGGGCAAAGTCCGATAAATGACTAATCCATTCTCCCTTCTTTTGCTTGGACGATACTTATACGAGTGTGCATTCATTCGCATCGACTTTTGCAATAAGCAGTCACTAGAGTAGTACCCATCAGCCGTGTCATAATTCTGTTTTGCCATTGTGGTAAAAGGCGCACGCGGACCCGCCACTGCTGATATTTGTCGGCCAGATCAGCTTCACTAGACAATACATAATACATCCGTATGAACACAGTCAACATGCTTTATTTTCGTACGTTCTTGACCAGAGGAGGAAAGCAGTCTAGGCAAAGGCTGAAATTAGTCAAAGCCTTACTTGTCCTTGCGCTCTGAAAAGTAGTCGTGCACGACGCTTACCGCAATAAAACTCTTAAATGGAACCTCAGTTATTGGGAAGATAAAAAATTAGAGCTACTGCGAATATATAAACAGTTTACCTAATCGTCACAGAGTTGTACATCATCGTGTTCTAGATTTGCACATACGCTTCGTCACGCTCGTGGCTTATGTATTCAAACTGGATACTGCAGTCGTCGCGTTTTTTGAGAAAAAAAAAAGCAACATACGTTGGACCAGATACCTGCGCATACAACCAGAAGCATTACATCCGAAAGAAGGTTATTAAGATATTTTCGAGATATATCGACTACCATATAAAACAGGAATCTCAACTACACAAACACATACCTAATATATCTAGCCGTAGGATGGACCGGGTTTTGGCCAGGCTTATTTACCCACTAGATACGTAAATTTTTCCTACCAGCGAAGCCAAGATATTGTTCTGTGTCTGAAATATCCGTCCGCAGCGATGATAAATTGATTAATACCAATCGATCAAAGAAGGAAAGATATGGTTGCGTTAGAGAAACGAAATGTACGGACAGAGATTTCTGCAGATCTCGATTTCCTTGGAATCCATGTTGTTATCGTAAACGGTGCAGTGCATTCGAGCAAAATCTAGCTGCTTTTATAAGTAAGTTGAGTAACATGACAAAGATCATTCTTTGAATAAGTTATGTCAACGTTATTTGTATGTATGTTTAGTAAATTGGAGATGTCAATATAGCTTTACGGTAATTAATTTACTGGTAACCGGATTTACCCTGTCTCTGTGATGCTATCGTCGAATGTTCCTGTCGCAAGCGTTTCCTTGATCGGCCTTCCTCCGTTGAATTCGAAGCGGCCATTAGTTGAATCCCAGGTTACGTGTCCGGTGCGGATTGTAGCCTGATTTAGTCCAGCTGCCACCAAGACGAACCCCAAGATGGTCAACATGGGGATAGTGTCACTAGCCAATACTCGCACTTACTGTCTCAAAAAGAAGAGCAGATACTATTGACGCACGCTGATAGGAACACAACGTACCCTTCATAAATACGTTCCCAAAAGGCAAGAATCGCGTGTGTAACCGTAATGAAAACGCACTGGTACTGATTTTATCTGTTGTAACGTTGGAGCGTCTCCTACGCTAGGCCGAAGTGAGCTATCAAATCAGATACATTGAATGCGATTTGATCAAAGAGACAGAACCCTATCAGATAGATTACTGAGACTTAAATATCCCGCCTAGCTTTTCTTGCAGGAAGCTGGAGATGTTTAGGCAGGCGAACGTTAAACGAGCATAGAGCAACATATCACGCCGGTCCACTGAGCTATCAGGAAATCATCGGGATTGGCGAAGAAGCTGTTCTAGCGTATTTATTTGCAGTAACATGGTAACACGGCTCAATGGGGAAGGAAAAGATTTAAAGGATAACGCTTTCCGCCACAGCCGTTTACTAACGCCTGCATGGAGCGCTCGTCTCGAAAAAAGAAACCCAACAAGCTAGTAAATGCTAAGAGAGAGTAATGAACACTTTTGGATCACCTCACCGGCGTACAATACTGTACCTAATGTTCCACTTATTATATAGGTTAGATGAATTGATTTATTTCCGCGTGATATTGGTAACAAAGTTTATTTATATGGAATTTCACCGACAACATTTAGCGCCAATGTTAAGCGACAAGCAAATGGTTAGCGTACAGAATCTAGAGTTCTCTTAGGGTTACATTTCATTTTGGCCACTGAACGTCGAACGAAGCCTTATAGATTACGTAGGCACCAAGGGTGCGAATTTTAGCAAAGCACTCAATAATTCTGAACTGAATACATCTACCCCTAACCTACCAATTCTCTCATCGATTCGCAGTACCTTCGCCGCGGGCTCCTAATGCTATGAAGGTACCGCTTCAACTTAACTTAGTTAAGATGAATAGAATTAGCTATTTGAAATGTTGCCATCCTTAGATAGTAACTGTGAATTCGTTGTCCGCTAAATCACAGGAGATGGTCCAAGATCGAATATCGAAAGAGCTAGCTAATTAAGAGCCACCTCAAAGCTGACGCCTAGTTTTTGTTCTTCAGTGCTGGATATCTAGCAACGAGACAAACCTCCTGTTCAGTGGTACATATCGGGCTAGTGTTCGCTGTCTTGCGCGGACAGTCAAACATGGGATAGGTGACATGCCCCGATTAGGCGAGAAAGCTATAAATTTCAATACTAACATACAAAGATAAGGCTCAGCAGATAATAACCAACAAAATTGATCGTTACAGGCACTAGGTCACAGTTGATTTGTTGTCAGATTGGAGGGCGTGCTCGTGCAGGCTTACAGGAGCCTAGCATTTTGCATACATATACATCTTGATGTCGATTGCAGGGACGCTGTATCAAGAAATTGTTAGCTATTGTTATATCTAATTGTTAGATTCCTTTATCCATTACGAACTTGTTGAATGTACGTGGAGTGTTCAGTTCAGTGACTACCAGACGATCGAGCCCAGGCACACATGAGCCTGATTTAAACCTTTTGCGATCAAAGCTGGTCCCATTTCGCGCCAAACAGTTTGTTTGCCATTACAGAATCGATCGAGCTATATAATGTTAGCTAACAGGGCCTCTAATGAGTTAATATGGTAGTGAAATTAATAACCAGCACCGGCTGCCAACGCTTAGCTGACTCATAGAAACTCGTTTCAACGGCAGAAATTGCTTAAAGAGCGTGCAAATGAAATTTGGTATCTAGCTGCTTCGTCTGCTCATAGAAGTTAGTGAAATTCTGCTGTAAAATATATAAGTTGAGAACACCGGCGTTGCGCTACTAGTGAGGTCCAGCGTTCGAAACTCGTATAGGCACCTATGCACACTTTCAAAACTACCAAACGAGAGCTTTTTCGTGCGCTATACGTTAATTCCACTTAACAAAAATGGGTTTCGACACGACTTCAAAAAGGCTATTATCGATGGCGTTCTTCAAGGGCATGATGGAAGCCATGGAAAACGACAATTGAAAACCTACATTGCAAGGAGAACGGAGCACAGATAACTGTATATTTCTCTCTATTTATCTGAAATATTTTTATACAATATATACGGTAACCGAGACGCTTTGGTCGAATTGACACTAACGTTTCTAAACGAAAGTCGTGATTTGAAAAGTAAGCAAACTTTTCAAAGAAGATCAGGAATAATCCGATGAGTATTTTAGAAATTATCGCAGCCCATAGATACGCCACGCCAACGATGCACGGTACACCATGTACAATTGTTGCGCAATAGGTTGGATTTTTCTGTTGCGATCCCTACAAAAGAAAGCCAACATAATTATTATTATTATTATTATTATCACTATTAGCGAATTAAATGAAAATGAAATTAAAAAAAAACAGAAATATAAATACAAAAGTATGTAGCAGACAATCGCGGTGTCGATGCATACACTTCATTGAAGCAAGTACGCGCGTATTCGAAGAGAATCGAACGTCACCTAATGAGCGACATGCGTCATTGAAAAAATTACCACTGGGTTTGGTACCGAAGGTTACTAGATAGTGGCCGGCAGTCTATTGACAATTTGCTTGGCCTTTAATGGCTTTATTTGACTAACACAAGTTCTATGCAACACAAACTTTTGGCAATACATAGGTTGACTGATGGCCTCACGAAGTAGACGAAGGCTGTTAATTTCATATTACTTTGAAATGTAACAATTCAGGTAGACGCTTGCTTGACTAGCAAATAACATATGTTGCAAGGTTTTTCACACAGGTGTTGCACACAGTTACGCCGACATAAAATTCAGGCTAAGCCTTTTCCTGACTATACCACTTTCAATGTACTAGTAAATTCGTCGCCGATAGACAACGCTTGTATATGATAATCAACAGAAAAAATCAAGCGGATAATAAATCCACATCCGATACTCTTTCTTTCGTTTTTTTTTTTTTTTTTTTCGAAAAAATCGTTTCTGAAAAAATGCATCGGGATTTTTTGAAGAATCAAAAAAAATGATAAGGCCTGAAGAGTCAACATGTCCTAATCAATTTTTATCGGCTCTACTAGCGGCGGTGGAGTGTTGAATTCACTTAAGTTTTGTTAGCTTTTTTTAGGGCACTGCAAAGCCGCCATGATATACCTGTATTAGTGCCACAAGCAAATAATTTGACCAGGTTAACATAACACCCTTCAGGGTAAATAACCAACTCCCTCCGGACGAATGTATTCGCTCTATTGGCTTTATCTATTCCGGTTCTAGCGATTCCGATCTGATCATTTTAAGGAATCGATCTGGGTCGGACAAACATAAATAGATGAAATTTTAACAGTGTATGAACTGATGGATTTAAGTTTATGGGCCTTTACGATAAGCCATGCACCTTTTCTGTAGGGTGTCAACTCCGACAAACATGCAGAGTTGTTTGAGATCTTTCTATATATGTTTATATAACAATTAGTTTTTATTCATGTAACCGCGACCACGATTTTGTGATTTTATGTACAAGCGCAGCTTCAGTATAACTCATAAGCCGTCTGTTATCGTTTGACATTAAAGGGATACAGGATTTTTTGTTTTAGGTCTCATAGTTACAAATATTACCCTACACGTACGATACACAGTACAACTACGGCCATGATATATTACGTTACGTTATCTGAGCCTGCTTTCTTCAGTAGTACATTTACTTCTTCAAAACAAACATATGCATTCATGTATTTTCCACTAAGTAAGTGAAGTCCCTATAATAACACTTACCCTGCACTTACCTAACATAGACTTCTCTTGTTCTTCTTGCAAGTGAAAGAGTAAACATTCTAAAAAAATTTTTGCTTGTGATAAATTTTAGGCATATCATTTCAAATCAACAGACGACCAGATGATGTAATGATATTTACATGCTCACTTCGAGTGTGACATAATAAATAAATTAGCTGAATAAATAAAGTAGCTCTTATTTTCCTTAGTTTGTCCTTTGGTTAGCTTTTAATTACTGTCAGAGGCGAGTTCTAAATGCCACGGCCCACGGTTCCCGGTCTGCTATTGTGTCGTTTAATGCTTAGTCCAATAGGAAGTAATCAAAGCATTTTTATCCGGAATTGTCTAGTTTATGCCGATATTGTAGCTTATGCTTGTTCACCTGCCCACCCCTTAAACGATGAGCCCTCCTGTTCAGGACACCTCGTGTACTCGACATGTAAGGACAACAACCTTAATCGATAAAGTTACGACCAGTAATCGTTCATAGGTATCACTGTGGCACGTAAACAGATTTACAGGAAAAATTAAAGAAAACGCCTGAGCTCCACGAGGAACATTTTTTTTTTTGTAGATATATTTCAGAACAATGAGGGTGTAAATCGTGGAAAAAATCTAGCAGTACTTACAACTTACAAGAGGCTAACGGTAATAATTTTAAAGTTCACGCAGATGCATCTATATCTGTTATACATATTGTCAAACATAGTGATTATATCACTTTTGTCATTAATTCTGTCTGAGGTTTCGCAGGGAAGTTGTATTATAGTAGAGTTAACTTCGACGCTATCGTTTCTGCTCGAGAGACTGGGCCCATAAGCCAGTTGTAAACTTGCTGCACTTTCCAATGGACACATCAACGCTACGACGAAACCCAAAAATAGATCATGTACCAATGATTATAACTATGATGAAATGCATTTCTACCTTGGAAATGGTATCGTCGAAAATCCATCGCCCTGCGAACGACTTAACCCCTATACAAATAATCATTGCGAAAAAGTATGTCGCCACCGTGTGGCCTTCGTGATTTTCTTGACCACTAAATATTGCCGGGGGGCGTTGAACCCCATGGCGTATGCAGATTGAATCAATCGTTATGAACCATAGGCCATGAGTAAGAACGGCAATGGACCCGAAATAAATGAACAACTAGATAAAACATACTTAAAACAACTGTACAATATATAAATTATCTTTTTATTTTGAACACAAAACGTAGTAAACGAACGTCCAGGTGTCTCCCTACCTGAGGTAGCCAAGCACACTCCGCGCAAATGATCAGGACTGCCACCGTGAACGAATAGTTCAGCAGCGTATGCATCAACACATCCAGTGAAGCCCTACCGTGTAGGTGAAATCAATAGAAGATACATTGGACCTAAAGCGACCGTTACAGCTAATGATACATCTAATAGGCATAATTATATAGAATATCATTTACTTAAACTGAATGCTAGGACCTTTTTCAAGTTCGACTATGTATACATAGTGGATATTTAGCGCATCTATTTTTTAACTAATGTTCTTTCTATGGTTTTGTTTTCTTTATTTTAGCATTTGTTTTAGGCAGCGTAACTTTTAGCAAGGCTGCTTAATAGCAGTCGTCAACATGGCAAGATACAAGCAAACAAAGTAAACTTCGAATTTGGATCTACTTTCTCATACCGTCAGACCGGTAGAAGCAGACTGCCACGTAATAATATCCTACCAATTGGCGTTTGATAATTTAACTCGTTGAACACATGGTCGGAGGCAAATTCGCGGTTCCATCTCTGAGAATACACTAGCGAACATGCTGGTCGAAGGCAAACTTTACGCTCCGTTACTCCGTAAACATTGCCATAGCTAGTGTCTAATAGGATTCAAAATGCAAATTCTATCGCCAGATTATGATGGCATTTCGTAGTTACGTAGCTAGAAGAACAACTCTTTCGTCTGGGTATTCGAATGTGGCAAACCATAGCATGACCATAGTTGAGCTTCCCCGCAAACCGAAACGGGATCGCCAAACAATAAACATTCGCCACAAAAGAGCTGCCTTGCGCGGCACTCATCAAAGCTGCGAAGTCGCTTCCCAGAAGAAGTAAGTTTTTTGCACTGTTCAGGCCTACCGTTGCCTTCTCTCGGTCGATCCTGGAACGGATATGGTAACTTTTAGCTATCTGTAATTTGCTATTGGTCCGAAAAATACAAACATGCTCCAACTATAAAAAAGAAACAAGCAATACTCCTGTCACCAGGCTGACTCGACCAGGTCGACGTTGATAATGATTTTACTAGTTACGTAAACTCAGCGAACGGCTAAGTAACGTTACACACCTCTGTCGCGCGTGAACAATGTCGATGACTCCATTCATCAGAAAGAACGCATACATAGTTATGTGCTGAAGATTTCCTATGGCTGAAAAACGTCCCTCAGGATCAAAACCCGTGTATACTTCTCTTAATACAGAGGTTGTCGAAAACATACGAAAGAAAGGGACATTTAGCTAGATTCTACCCGATCCTCGTCCTGTTTATTATTTGTTGTCCCCTTCTAAAAACGGTCATCTTCGATCCTTCTAATTCGATAGGAGCATTCTCTCCGGAAATATAATCAGATGCCGCGAACTTTAGTCGCTGTTGTCCGCTGATGCAGTTTTAAAACAAGGAAAACTAGTGGAGGTGTAACGTTGTACGATAAAATGTCGAGAGCCTTGCTCCTAGTTCGCTATAAACTTAAGGCACCTATCCTAAGATGAAAGGAGTGAGGAAAAAAACTTGTACCTAAAAGCCCGTTTGAGATGTTTAACTGGTCTTTGAAATGAGGCCTGTGTAAAATAATGTGAATTTATTATCGCAGGCAACGATGAGCAACGAGCACTCACTGCATACAAGTTTATTTGAAGTACTCAGCTAGACTTGACTCACTAACCTACGATGCTAATACAGGTTAGAAAAACTTTGCACCATGCTTCCGGACTTATCCGTGCCCCTGGCCAGGGATGAGTTGCACGATTGCGGAAAGAACATTGGTATGTCGCAAGCTGCGGCGAGATCACAAACATCCACCAATTACAGATTAGACATTTCAATTAGAATGTGAACTATTTCTCGTGCAGAATTGACTGCTAAATATTAACGAAGTATGATACATTAACAGTTTTCGAAGACATCTATGATGAAAACGACCCGTATTGATTTTGGCCGCGCGGATGAAATACTATTTGGACGTTGGAGAGGATAGGAACATTATCGACTATCAACCTGAATCATCCGTAGCTATGTTGACCAACGTTTAAGTCACTGTGACCATTGTGCATCCGAGTGAGGCGTTATCTCGAAACGCCTCGCCGATCGGACCTATCGTTGGTACAGGAAGCGACGTCTCACCCATTGAAGATTATGCAGCCTATAGCATTCTTCTACACTGAGTGGCCATTAGTAAACGGCATTTTTACAAGACGGTTATCTATATAAGTTAGCAAAATAAGTGACACATTTGCTGCTAACTCATGGGCAAACATTTTTTATGATGTCACTGTTTTCGCCTCTGACTATAAGTCTTCTTTTTAACGTTTTAGCCTAGGACTGGGCTTCCAAGGATAACGGAATGTTGACATGTCGTTCACATTGAGCTCTCGAAATTTCATTTATATACAATTTATAATCTCAAAACTTTAGCGGAATCCGTATAATTTTGATTAATCCACAGTCGGATATGTTGCTTACCAGCTCTTCACATCGAAACACCAGGTAGTAATTGTCCTACAAAGGTTCCCATATTCCCTGCAAACACGAATCGCTTGTACATGCTACTGGTTAGCTATAAGGGCGGGTACAAACATGGGAGGCGCGAACTGAATGGAAATCATGACCATTGGTTACACTAAACCTTAAAGAATATGGCACGGCCGGAACATTCGTTAGGGCTAAAATTAGACTATTTGACATTTAAAATAAATAGAACTTCGCTTAGACAGCAGCAGAGAATGTCCTAAATAGTTCTATGCTATAATGGGAATGCAGCGCTTAGTTCTGTACTTTTCTATCGAAAAGCAATCTTTATAGCTAGAGACCGTTACAAGGTAATGTCTAACCAAGTTGACTTTTCGGTAAATCGAATCGTGCTGACCTGTCGATGGTAGAAAGCTGGGCTCCGCTTGATATAATAAACACACATTTTAATCTATATTTCTAAAATAGTTTATACCTTAAAAATGAAAAGGAGAAACTTGTGGCGACCATTTTGAGCTACGACAGATATCGGCACACCTGTACAATCCTAGCCCGACTCGCTCATCGAAAAGGTTTTTTCGTCAGGGGGTCCTAGATGTTAGTAATCAAAATTTCGTTAAATAGCTTTCTTAAATGATTTTGCATCAGGAATTCTACGTTTTGTTGGATCCTAGCAGAATATGACACCGCGAAAGTAGATTGTCACTAGTCGGCCATAGAGCCTTCAGAGCTATTGATTCTTAGCTGCGAGCAGAGCGGCAGAAGTGCAACTCCGAGAGACAATATTGTTACGATTAGAAAACAGAAACGCGAGTAGCTGTTATCTATAGCTTACGCTCCGAAGCATGTGATAAATGAAAACAGTCCTGCTTTTGGGACCAATGATCTTGGAACCGGAGGTTGGACAGCAGTGTCCCTGTGGCAACTGAGACTGCCACACACAACGCTTGAATGCCAAGCTCGCGTCGCAGTTGGATTCAGACCAGATATACTATAATTTACTCAAAAATATAAATGTGGCTCGCCTGACGACGCGTTGATCACGACCCCTCTTTTTCACGATCACGCCCCCCAAACGACCTCGTTTTCCCACAAGTTATTTACACGCTCGGAGAGCTAGATGTGACCGGCGATGGCCCTCGGCCAAACCGTATACTATACTCGTGCCAAAGTTAACCTTTCACTTATGGTTTAACTGGCGAGCGCACGAGAGATACGAGGCTTACGATCGAGAACCACCTAATAGACGATAGATGAGCTCGTATTGTTAGGAAAATACCTGATATAGATATTCCACAGCTGAAACCGTTAGTAGTTCTTAATATCATACCCTATAGAGCTACATGGATCGAAAAATATGCCGCAACTTTCTGGGTACTTATTATCCAACATAAAACATGTTGCATATTATGAGGCACACACCGTAATTTTGCAGAGTTCAAGCGATTCAAACGAAGTAATTATGTTAACTCGACTTTGTTCCAAATATAGGAAAAATGCTTTCTATTGACATCTAACGAACGTAATAATTGTAAGATAACTTGCGTGTTATACACAACAGCTTAACGCGGTAGCAGAAGTAGCCTATTAGCTACATTTAGGTTTCAATATATTTCAATGATCTCAAAATATCGAACAGTCGATAACATTTTTACCGTTGCCGAGTAACGCTGGGTGATTGCCTGCCACGTCGTATTCGATAATTTCCCGGATTTGCAGGTCCTCGAAGGTTATGAAAGCGTTTTGAATTTTACGTTCGGTGCTGCCGTTCAGCACCACTTCAGACGGCCGGCAGGGATACGATTATGCCTGGCTGGATTTACGTTTGCGTCCGTCCGCTTACCGTGCGAACGCGTTACTATGGCGCCATCGTGGGAACAAATTCTAGGAGATCGGCAACGCTTTAACATTCCGCCATATTCGACCGAACTGTAATGACATCCATCAGAAAGGGCACACACACCCTCAAAACAAAGTCACCATCAACTTCGCATCACATTCAAACAAATGTCACAAAACTAAATTTAAAAAAAAATATCCATACTGGATGATCTATGATTGAATGATTTCGTTTGAACAATCGTCATGGCATTTTTGTTTTAGTTAAATATTGCATTATCTATATTTCGATTTTAATGAGAATCAGCTACCTTTCTTCTTGGGAAATTAGACTGACAGCGATACTTCGAAACTATCAAGCGTCCGCTGCATTATAGGCAGTCAGCAGTGGTTTCAATATTGTAAATAATCTTTTGTCACAACTGTGGCCAGCGTACGTTGCCCCTTTATCGGTGTATCGATAAAGTGGAAAGCTGAGGCGCTTGTCCAGATTGTGATCATTCGACATGTTAAACATTGATTGTTATGTAAGGTGTATAGGCAGGCCAAGAGGTTCCGTGCTGAACACAGAAGCAAGTTTTTCATTGCCACTTTTTAACATAGCCTTCATGTAAAATTCTATGATTTTCTCATCAGCGACATTTGTACCTCTTTAATCCGTCAGTAGTTGGCACGCCAGCCGGCGAACTACGCTCTTGAGAATTACCTGATTTGCCTATTTGGTAAAAAGTTTTGGTCCGAACGGAATTTTCAGCTTAGCTATAGTGAATCAAAGGTAGAGAACTTAATTTGAGTTCTTTTTCTCTGCCTTTTTTCTTGTCCACAATTTGTGAAAATATGATACACAGTATGCCCTCGTCATTATTATCCCTTTTTCAAGGTAATTAATAGAGTTGCATGGCTGTCCTAAAAAGATACCCGGCATTGCTTTCCCAGCCGACAGAACAGTCCTCGCCCCTTTTCAATGCCAATTTATCGTTTACTGTTTTTCTTTTAGATTGTATCGAGGACACCTATGGCAGGAAAGTCTATTCAAAAACCTTGTATATGCCCTCGGAATGGGCTGCCGCTAGACTTCTGAATAAATGAATAACATTATTAATAAAGTCATTAAGTACTGTCAGGGTTAGAATCAACACTAGATCCCGGAAATAAACAAATTTGCCTTTACGTAATTACCATCGTGAGCATAAGCCGTGAAAACCAGCATCTCTTTAATACAATAACAATAAAAACAAAGATGAATCGATGTTCCATGAGAAAATGATTAAAACACAAGTGGTTCTTCAGATTTCCGCTGTAATGAATTACTTTATATGCAGCTGGGCAGACAAATCTCATAAAACCACAAGTCTACGAAATATCCGTAATGATTTAGCTCGCATATGGGGATATTGTTTCAAGTGTAACGTCCCGTATTGCCGTTTGCTATTCCTTCACACGGCTGAGTTGCAGCACAAAGCTAGGTACGTCTACGCCCTGATTAAAGCCCTACATACTACTACATATTCCTCAAATTTACCAAGCAAACAAGTTACCCACTCTGCTATTAAAAGCACTATCCGCTTGTTTCTGAACTTTGGTCCCTTATTGGAGTGGGACACAAGCCTTGGCATTACGCCGGCTCCTTTTTGAAAACCTGCATTGATTTTATAGCGCTAGTTCGAAGTTCTTTACAATTCGTTTGGTGCAGTTTGTATGAAACTAGGTAGCAAGCTAACTCCGAAATACAACTTCCGCACTTCTAGACGCATCGTACTCTAACCGTTGGAATAGAGTTATATTAATTTACCGGGGCAAGGCTGTATCGACAAGCACGCTCCCCATACTTGCTTAGTAAATGGCAATTTGGGTTCAGTTATTTACCATGTCCTCATTTGAGGCAAAACTGCAAAAAAAGCCCGTTCGCCTAAGGACCACCTACTTGAACAAATTTCAGAAATGGCAATTGAAAAGTACCTACAATAGCATGTTTCTTTCATTCATACTGCGAATTTTTCGTACGCAACTGCTGTATGAAAGTCAAGGATAAAAGAGGATGCAATGAACGACAAAACAATGTCCAAAGAAATTATATTTTCGCTAATGAGCCTATCTCATTTGCCATATGATCGTTTTAGCAGTCGAGCTTCGGCCTGCGTCCTACTGCCACGCGCTCAGATGTGTCGTTCCAATTCTATTGATACCGTATACACGTACTCTTTGAATTTATCCGTCATAAAGATGGATGGCACGCACCTAGCCATCCTGTTTGGCCAATGGTATTTTTCCCCTTAAAGAACATCAGTAATCGGGGCATACCATACCTTTATACAGTTTGCTGTTAGATACGTCGTAAGGCACGAGGAATCGCTTACTGACTCCGCAATTCATAACGGATCAAGCGGTCGCGCCGCTAACTTTTTCTTTCGCCATAATGTCCTTGCAACAACTACTACAGCCGTAGCAACCGGAAGAAGTTGTTGTAGTGATTTACAGTAAAGTTGTGATTCAAATGGCTTAAGGTAACGATACCGTGGACGTTTATATAAAGGGTATACGCAACCGATAACGTTGCGATACTTGCCCGCAACAGCGCAACGTCAGATTAACCTATTAAGCATCGCTCGGTACTACAGCAAGCCCTCAATGTTGCATAGGTCTTATCAGCCACATTACAGGTTATTTAAGAGGAAAATAGCGTCAACATTAGGCCGCACCCGTCCAGCTCACGTCGTGCCTAATTTTGATTAGCTAAGGCATTAACTCTGTCGACAAACGCTGTTTCGTTGTTGGTTCTTGGTGATGCGTTCGTCACGCTAACGTGCCCTATTAGCATTACGCAGATGTTCTACATCTTCGGAATCGATATATGTAGATAACTACCGAATCAAAGAAGGCTCGATCCCGTCCCAGCCCGATATCTTTACGCGTATAATACTAGTATACGGCAAATGGCTTTAACGGTGTATTCATTCATTCAATCACAGTGTTAACTAGGGGCAGTAAAGGCGATGTTTGATATAAGGTTGCAGATCTAGAGGGACGCGTAGTGGCTGCTAAGTATGCCGTCAGTGCCCCAGCAAATGAACTGGCATCTTCGGAATTGCTCAAAATCTTCCCGACAATGAATATTCGATTCACTATATTAGGTACATTTTATTGAAAAGATGGGTGTCACAAGCACGGCATTTCGCTTAAGATTAGGGAGCTTATTCGGGTCACATTATTATAGCTTGATTTTAGTCTTGGGGGCATAAAGCTATGTCGACGGAGAAATACCGAATTGCGCAAGCGTCTACGTCCAAGACGCAACACAAAAGAAACAATTGGATATAGTCAATAATTGTTGCAGTCATAATGTAACACAATAAAGTTGTTAAAAGGCATTGCACTCGACGATTTTCAAGCCTTTACTCCAGTATATCTGAAGTAGCAATACGAAAATCGGTTTACGCGTATCTGACTCTACAGAATACACTATGAAGAATAGAAATGGCGTACCTTCAGTCAATCGATTCAAATATGCCATAAGACAAATAATCATATTAGCGTCGTTTGACCACCCCTTCTTCCGGCCCTCGTTTCTTATGTTAGCACTTGTTCAGTCTTTCTCCCTTCAAAGGTGGCCTGTAACATAAGGCCCGGTTGTTGTTGTTGACACAGCTAAACCGTCCTAAGTATTAGCGCAGGTCCGGCTACCTAATGGCGCTCATATTTAAACAGCCCTTGCAACCTTACTTTATAACCTTGCCTTATACAAAGCGGTAACACATTGCCTACGATTACATCATAAGTGACCTATGTAATCAGCAACGAAGACGAGTTTTACATTTGCATTTAGGAAATTTAGCGTCTTCCATTACGGCCTGCGAAAGGGCCCTAGGTTGCGAGTGGTATGTGACAAGGTCAAGATTCGCCGTTCGCCGATCTGTTAAGTTTTGAATAAACTCGAGCCTGATGGTGCTTGTACAATAAAGAAATAAGGGTACATCGATTCTGTCTGACGCGGTGTTCGTATAAGTTCAGTGCTGTCCGCAAATCTGCGTGCCCAGAACTTGGCTCTTTCAAAGACCGCTACAACTTAATTATTTAGGAAATTGCTCATAGGTTTCATTATTGAAGTTGCGTGCATAGAAGAAAGTGCTCTTACAGCGGTCCTTACATATTAGAAGCAATTAGGGTCGTCAAAGGGTTCTAAGCCAAATAAGTTATTGGCTCGTTCCGACCAACCTACCCTTACTCCCAACTTCTACATTTTTGATACACTGAATTATGTCATAAAAAACACTCTATTGTTTCTGTCACTAATTACTATATTTAAGCTTCTGTGTGAGGCTGTATCCAAAACGTATACTAGACCCTTAAGATAAAAGATTTATTTCAAAAACTATGCTTGTTATGTTTATCTCAAGCCTTAAAGTGATAAAATGTGAGAAAAGAATTAGAACAAATATAAGCTATGAATCATAAAAAAGTTAGTCGTTATTTTAAAGACAGATTTTCTGCTCCCAACAATTTAAATTTTGCAGTCGACGGCTGCACGAGGCGAGCCAAAAAGCGCTTATCGTTGTAACTGTCTATTATGTTTTCCATATGAGTTTTGCTACCTTAAACTCGTTTAATTATACAGTAGTTTCATAAACATGTAAATTTGTAGTAAATATAAAGACCTTACGGTAAATGTTTGCGTATGTTACACGGTTTAGGGCGCGTAGAATCAACTTCGTGTGAGAGCTGGTGTATCATCTTCTTCCATCCGATGCAGCATAATCGTTCGTCGAAGGCGTTCACTTCGAAGTGGCGCCAACGTTCTCTTGTGCAGTAAATTGCCAATGATATAGTGGAGAAGCACGCTGGTTATGTCAATCCACACCGTATGATAAAAATTTAATCTACAAAACAAGCACAAGAAAAAAATAAGGCCAAATCTAAGTGTTGATGAATGACCTTCCACTAAACTGTAACTGCAAATTCGGAAAAAAAATATAGCCATACATAACAGAGTTAGTTAATAGATGTCCTGATCCCTTAAAGTCAGCTAAGTTTTACGTCCAGAAGCTCCGTTTGGTATTAGACGGAATGAAAATCACGGATAATATGAGGCTCAGAACTTATACTGGGCTACGAAGGTTGTCGACCTCTAACAAGCTGTCGTGTGACAATTCAACTTTGCGAAACGTTTACTAAATTTACTATTTATATTGGACAAAATAATGATTGAAATTTGCATCAGTCATTTGTCAGGGTAGCCATCTTTTAACTATTCTCGCGGCTCATTAGTCAGATTTAGATCGCTCAGATGGTCACTTGGGCAGATCCATGCAAAGTGGATTTCTGTAAGGACATATTTCTATGTTTGTCATGCATTGACTAAGACTGATTTGGAAAATACGCTTGTGTTAAATAGTTTGTCGTACTCGATCATCTGTTAAAAATGGAAGGCAGGTTTTCAGGATGATAAACGGAAACGTCGTTAGGTGTCTCCAAGCCCATTTTAGAATTGTTAGGATATCGAGATATAGACGAAACGCACAAAATTGACACTAAGTTAAGAAATTCTAACGAGAAGCCCCGCCAAAGCAGCCATTTTAGTGCTGAAACTACTACCACTACCACTATCGGCGTATTCAACGGAATAGCATTATGAATATTGGTTGAATTTAGACAAATTATTTTATAGCTGTACCTTACATTACAAAACACCATAGTACGAGCGGAGCATGTTGTTGTTAGTACAGACCGATTTTTTTTTGCAAAATACGTCAATGCTATACTAGATGCATATAAAAAAAAAAATATGGCCATTGTACTCTGTTGTAAAGATTTTACTTTGTGCAACCTTCTTTTGATTTAGAAAAAAAAACCTTTGGACGACGCTCAATGAAGACTCGATCACAAAGTGTTAGGCTACCATTGCCCATGTAATAATCTGGAATAAACCTTAATCTAAAACATCGTTTTAACCGGTTTACGGATTGGGGCACGAGGTTTTCGATATAATTTACTTTGTGTGCTGTACATTGCAGAAAAATATCCTTTAACAAATATGTATATTTTGAACAAAATATCAAGCTAAATCAGTAATGTATTCTCGAGGGAGCCGCATGACATCTAGAAATGTATGCTTTGATTAGTGTAAGGTATAATAAGATGCTGTTTGATTTTTTTTATTTTCTTTGTTTGTTCATAATAAGTCTAAAAAAAATTGATTGCTTATCTACGTACAGCCTAGTCAGCGGCAGCCGCTATGGCTGTGATCCTTACCAGCTACTACTTGCGTCCCAGAATAGGAAATCAGTATCGGCTTTTCTATAGCAGAAGAGGAGCTAGCACAAAGGATAATGGTATTTTAACAACCACTAAACAAGAACGGGAAAGAAGAAGATGCTTGACGTCTACGCTGGAAAGGTAACAACGATATAAGTGTATGGGTCATATATATTCAATGATTCTCTGTGTCTGGAGAAGCGACAACCTATTAGCAATTATAAGAGTGGAACTGAAGTGAATCAGGCACCGGACGCGGAGAGTGAAGACCGCCAAATAGGCTATTTGTAATTCTAAGAAGAAGCAACAACAGTTAGTGAGCTCTATTAAACTAGGAGCTCTTATAGAGTTCTTGGAAACTGAATCTAAGAGCAGGGAACGCTTTCGTACGTTTAACAAAAATGTTTACATAAAAAAGACTTGAAGAGAAATTAGGTAAACGACGGAAGTCGTCCCCATCGATCGAACCGTCCCAGGTGCAAAAGCAGACATCACTAGGTAGAATGCGTTGGGAGCTCATGCTTACTATCCTTGGCCAGCTGATGCATTCTGTATAACCGAAGCTAACTATAATTTTAGTGGGACGCTTTATGTACTATCAAAACCCATTTTTCGCTCGTAGATTAGGTGATAAATTTTTCGTCTCAAAAATGGATCTTTTTTTGAGCAACTTTTTGAAGCTATGTTATTCTACGAATGAAAGTCGTTTCCAGACCTAGTAAATAGCAACACGGGAGCGAATTGGCAAACTTGGTCGGTGCGAAGGCAAATGACATTTAATAAAAATACTAAAGTAATTTGGCTTATCGATGTAAATATATGTTCACCGCTTCATTAGCGCCCCATTCTGGCACTGCCGCTTCTTCTAAATTTACTCAAAAATTCCGAACTTAAACGCCATACTGTGTAAAAAATAAATATAGACATACAATTAACCAGATCATGTGGATTATGCAAATGGATACGAATGCCTCTTATAATGATCATTACTAGCATTAGCAATGGGCTTATAAGCACAAAGAGTGTTTAGTTTAATACATTAGCTGTGGGGTTGGAGTCAACAGAAGAAGTTAAATATCGAGTAGTTCGTAAACAAAATAATGAGATAACAGTGTAACGTCCTAGGGAAACCCAACGGCTTTTAAGATTTGAAATAATCAAATTAACCGATAGCTCTTCTAACAGCCTAATGACCATAACGCGAGTACCTACGCATAAGATCGAAACTTACATTCAAGAACACATATGTTGATTCCAATATACCGAAAGTATTTTAAATACCATTTTCTAACATTTCGTACCCAAAACATTGGAGCATCTTAAGATGAATGGACGCGTTTGGTCCAAGAGTTCCTACAACAAAGAAGACAGATTTCCCTCTACGGTTCAGTTACGAATAATAGATTATAATATTGTTTTATTACTTTAATGTTAATGTAACAAGCGTCCTTTACTGAAAAACTGACACCTTGGCAGAGCGATCTCTTTATACTTCTGATAGAAGTGAGACTGTAAAATAAAATGTTAGCTTAAGCATTTTCGATGTATTTTCAGGTAACCGATATGATCTTTTGCTCTGGGAAGTTTTCTATTTTTTGTTGCTTATGAAAATAAGTTGTATTCAATTGGGCAATGTGAATATCAATTAGCTTTTGTTATCGTTTTAATTTATGTGTGCGTGGAGAACCCAAGCAGCGGAAGTTATTTTAATATCACGAAATGCGAAATTTGAAATTGGCGCTCTTCGGTCGCCTAAACAGCTGGTGCACTAGTCGCTCTCGCAGCCATCTTCTGTACTGTATCCAACTAGGGCCGTGTTTTTTTTGTTGTTGGTCTGCTCCACGTTGTATTCCTAGCCAAAGGAGTAGGACTCACAGTTTATTGTTGGTGCGGGCGGTCAGTGCATTTAAAATCGATTCGAATTCGCAAATTCGAAAGATGTCGATTTGTATGATGCGCGGATTTTGGCGATCTTTAGGTCCTCATAAAGTGCCGCTCTTCTCGTCAGCGTTTGGCATGCAGGACCGATTGAAGCTTCCGTATGAGCAAAATCGTGGGTATCCTACTCAGAAGCACCAAAAGCTGATCTTAGCTGCTCAGAAACGTAACCGGGCGCGCAAGCTACAAAAGCTGGAAGAGACAGAAGTAGATTTTGTTACGTCTCAAAAATCTGCTGCTCTTAGAAAGACTGTACTCAAGAGTAAAAGGTGCGTTGACTTTTTGATATTCATTATTCTTATAGGAAAATGTTATATCGGTTTAATGCGCGATCCCGTAATCACCGCGCTCAACTGATTCGATCTGTATGTAATGTAACATATTTCCTTCGCTTTGCAAGCCATGCTTTTAAAAGTCTGCACCAATAGCAGTAATTCACATTTATTATGTGTTTGTTAATTTAATCCAACTGAAATGAATATAGTACTTCACTATCCCAAGGAAGCTTGGACGTCCTAGTACTCTCACACTATGAGCGAATCAGAGGACAAATTTTGGTTGTCAAGTTGTGTAGATGTTATGAAAATAGCAAACTTACTTGTTTTGTGCATTTAAGTTATACTACTGCATTTGTTACTATATTTTATACCCGCATTATGTCACTCTTAAGCTGGCTGGATATTTTGTCACCACGCTGTTTGGATATTTGTCTGCTAACTGCCCACAGATATGATCCGGGTAATAACCTTCCATCTGAACTGCAAGAGGACGTATATTTTCGGTCGTGGTATCGAGAAAAGACCTACTCGCTTGAAGAGTGTATTCAGATGCACCGAGAGCTGATGCATCCATCGATGTTTGACAGGCATGTACAAAAGAAATGCATTTGTTTATGCTTTACTTCGATTTCTGCAATATTTCAACGATATAATTCATCCTTGTGTCAATGTATATGTAGATTAACGATTTGGATATGCTCATCCATTGCCTTACACTGCAAAGCTAATGAAAACTGCTTCTGTGTGTACATATTTCTTGATTCCACCAATCATTTCTATAATTTTTACCAGATTAATACGGAAAATGTAATACCTTTGGAAGTCGTTTGCACATTGATTCATTTTTATGCCTAAAGTTGATCACAATTGCTCTGGTTGCAAAAAAAAACCTCTAAAATTAATATAAAAGGAAGAGTAACAAAGAAGAAGCAGAATTTAAAGGGGTTTATTGAGGAGGTCGATAGACCTTCAAAGCTAAATAAATTACTACCACAAACTATAACAAACTTTCGCTAACGAAAAAGCTTCGGCGCTTCAGGAGTGACAACATTCTTATAGCAACTGTTGAGCTAAATATGCAAGCTAAAAAGAAGAACAAGTATCTGGATCGTTTCGAGGTTAGTCATTTTGTTCACGGTATCTTACGTTCACTATATTTTCAATTTATTCCGTAAAAAAATACAATCGAATAATTTGAATCACGGAACATATTATTATTCGGGGTATATCCATTCTCGGCCTTGACGTGTCACTCGTTCGTCCTTAAAAATAGCAGTCTTATATTGTTCGATGTCTCCCTTAGTCCTAAACATGGAGCTAAATCAATTTTTACTATGAATTTGCTGATTGAGTTTCATGGACCCTTGTAGTGCTGTCGATCTGAACCTATTGTTCGTCTTAAAAAACGCTCGTTCATCTATGTGTTTCTACAAACGTAAGCTCTTGATCTAATGTTTGCTTAAATAATATATTTACTGTGGCATTTTCAGGGCACTCTATTATACCCTCACGTGTTCCCAAATAAAAGCCGTATCACCAAGATCCTCTGTTTCTGCCGTTCCTCGGACGATGCTGTTAAGCTGATGGACAATGGAGCTGATTTGGCAGGGGGAACGGCACTTGTGAAAAAAATTACCGCTGGCGAAATAGACCATACTCTATACGATCACATACTGAGTTCAGTCGACATGATGGAAGAGCTCTTGCCTCTGCGAAACATCCTGAAAAAAAAGATGCCAACCCCACAGAAGACCATGACAAGTGACCCTTTCACACTTGTCAAACTCTTCCGCAAGTCGGTTGTGTATGAAGCAAGGAAAGACCCATACGAACCGGATTACGCACAGTTCTCTGTGCCGTTGGCCCGACTAGACATGCCTCTTGATCAAATCAAAGCCAATTTGAAGTTCCTCTTTACCGAGGTATGATAAGCATTTTTACTCAATAGTAGTAATAATGTACGCAAGAATTTTGTCTTTTTTTATCAGGTTTTGCTTCAAAGTACATTAAATTTATGAAAAACATGTCATCTGTGCAAAAATTATACCAGAAAGCCACGCGTTGGAGTTTATATTACCTTCCACTTTAGGTCAAATAAACAAACTCGTTACAAGGAAGATCTAATAATTAAGATTCGTCATAACGATGCAGATAATTCAGCTGTAATTAGCGCAGTTATCTTAATAAAAGTTTTGGGCTTCAAATAATTTATTAAAACATTTTCAGAGATGCATTGTCATTTCTGCAGTAAAAACAAATACAACTAGCCTGCGGTTTTAATTAATCTTAGTAGTGTCCTTTGCGGATTTTTTCTGTACTGTCTGGAGTAATTGTGGCGCGTGAGTCGGTACGTGGCGGTTTCTAGTCCGCCATCACTTGATAATTACTGCTCTACAAAATTCAATGTCACTTGAACTCGGAAATATCTAAGTACTTTGGCCTCTGGAAATAAACCACTCTCTAAAACGTCATCCTTATCATTTTTCTTTTCAAGAAATAATCATACTGTGTTCTTAGAAGCCTCCTTACCGCTTGGTAAGCATGTGCGATACCTATAATTACTGAAATGCCCTGCTAGTCTCAAGTTACCTGAAGCGTTTATCTAAGTAAACGAAATGACTTTAAGTAATATTTTTCAGTAATCCTTTTAGGCATTCTGACTGTAAGGAATCAACAAACCTTAACTTTCAGGTAAACGAGCATATGCCGTCAGGTCGACCGATTAATTCTTTTATCACGCAAGTTTTCATCAGTTCACCTCCGTCACCAGAACGCTTTGTTCTAAATAGAGACCCTTATGAGAAGTATATTGCTGAGACAACTGTCGTTGCGGAATTGGCTGGACGGAACAAGCTGGACAAACAAAAGAAGGCTATTGTGATTCAAAGAGACGAGACCCAAGACGCTGACGATGAAAAGGAGGCCAAAGAAGGAAACGAAGATGCGAACAAAACATTCCAAACTACTTAGCAGTCCTCAAAGTAGCTATATAAATCTATTAAAAGGTTTATAAAAAATAATGTATAGCTGATCATATGTACAAAAATAATTATTGACTAGCTAGCAGCATAGGCAGAAATCCAAAAAAATAGGACGTTGGATACGCTATACGATAAAAACTGAAGTGGAACACACATTTTTTAATTTCTTTAAGCTTTTTTTTTTAAGTAGTTACTATTATGTCTCGCGAGTTCATGAGCATGTGATTAAAAAGCTTCAGCTAATGTGTTATCATAGATTGGTAACTGTTGCGATAGCAGACCAGTTTATAAGGTCTTAGATATTAGTATATTATAAGGCGGATCATTTTTATTATTGTTAAATAAGTTTCCTATTACCTTAATCGACTAGTTTATATCATGCGAATTTTGGCAGTTCCTTAGCTTAATACCATGTCAGAAAAGCTTTAGATTGAATATGTGAGAAGCTGTCTTAATTTACTCTGTTTCTGGGGATCTTGGTTCAAAGCTTAAAAATGTAAAAGGCTGTCTTAATTTACGCTCTCTCTCTCTCTGGGGATCTTGACCCATTTATTTTGAGCACGAAATGTGTAAATATTATGCAAAACTCCACTACTTCCTCCGACTTCTATGTCATAAGTTAACCTTTGCAGAAATACAATCTGTGTATTGTATCAATCTGTTAAGCTATATATTTTTAAACTTGTGTGAAATTCGAGACTCGGATGTTATCATGACCTTATTACCCTAGCTGGACCGAGAATAGAGAGTACTTTTATTATTATGCCTTTAAATCCGAAAAAATTCCAATGGTGAATTTGGAGAATAATGAATAAAATCAGTTACTTATTTTTATTGAGGTTATGGTTTGCATGCTCTAGTAATTTTCGCTTAAATTTAAAGATTACTCTGTCCTTATTTTTTAACGCTGATAGTGTACTATACACTTAATATCTTGCCAAACAAAAAGCATCTGCAAATCTGATTAGAATGCCGTGTCTGAGAGTGCTGTTTAGTTTTATTCGTTCCAAAATTATTTTTATTAAGTGTCATTGGTAAACGATAATGTAAAAACTCCTGGCTCACCAATAAATTTCAGCTGCATTCGATTTGTATTTGGCTGACAAACGCTTGCACTTCAAAATGACTTGAAAATATTTTATGTTACTTTTGTGATATGTCGACGGAGCTATTACTAACAAATTACTAAATGTATGGTTTGAAAAAAATCGTTTCGACTGACCACAACCACTTTTCGTATACATTTTATTCATTCGAGTCAGCATGTACTTCTATTAGTTGAGGTTTATTTCAGCGTTAGTGAGCGAATAATTATACCCAGTTAGGTATACTCGATATATGACTAGAGCAGACAAGCTTTGTATATAGATTATAAAAATTGTTTGAAAACTCGACCATACGCAGTGGTCACAGCTCAATGAAGAATCTTAACATTTAAGAGTACAACGGCAGCTTTATCATCGAATCAATACAAAATTATTTCCAATCATTTAGCTGGTACGCTGTTACGGTAAACGTTACGCGGTTTGAAAAAAGAGTGAGAGAATTGAAAGGGTAAGGGCGAAGAAGACAAAAATAAAAGCTGTCCTCTAAGAGTGTTTCTAGACATACCTCTGCTTTTCGTAATAACGCTATATTTCCAAAGTTAGGTGACAAGTATCAACGTAACATAACTATAGAGATTACGAGCTTAATTACAAAAACACGTAAGGGCACAAACCGAAAAATGACAAGTGATCGATGTTCTCGGATAAATAGGTATTCGCATATAGAATAAAATAAAAGAAATTTAGAATCACTTCAGATCAAATTTCACCGACTCTAATTGTCACTATTAAAAATATTTTTAATAATGGAGGCCGTTGTTTCCGAAACCGGATTAGCAATATTATTGCTCTAAAAACCAGCTATTGATAACATATCAGGTTGACTAATGTCTGCTATTAGAACAATACATCAAATCATTAATTTTTCAGTTTTCAATGTAAAATTAAAACGGTCGAATTACCACTTATAGGTAATTTGCGATTTATGTGAAGGATACGCATATATTTCGATGTGTGCAGCGACTCTTAATAATATAATTCCTAGGTAATTGTGGTCCATGTTGGATTATGAGAGGCTATTTAACGCCAATTGAACGGTAGTGTTCGTAGTGGTGCAGCGCTGCAATGTTTGCCTACTAAACCGTGGTAAGCATTGTAGCGCATCGTAGCATTTGGTGGCAGTATGGATCGAGCTCTCGGGACATGCTAGGACTTATAGACGATAATGTTCGATGCTTGTCTTGCGCTAGAAGAATAAGTAAATGACTCCGCGCTACGTGCTCAGACACAAGTGAGGACAACGCGGCTGCAGTGCTTGAGGCTTTTGTTGAGAACATCAAGGCTATTCTTCCGCCCGATTTGCTACGGTTAGGCTACTCCATGCTCAACAACGGATTCTACAATTAGAATTCGTGAAAAACACCCAAAGTTGGCCGCGTTACTGTTTGGCCTGTGGGTTGCTATATTTGCCGAGGCTATGGTTTTAAACGGCGGGTCGAATAAATGGTTTAAGAGCTAATTGTCCGAGAAGCATCTATAAAAGCGGCTCCCGGCCCATCAGAGTGCTATGGTCGACATACTTGACGACAGGAAAATTTCTATGCCCTCGCCTAAGAAAAATACGGTATGGTAAACCGGCTGGAGCTCTCTGACTTTTCTCGAGAACATTAAGGAACAGAACCAGAGTCACAGCATCGTTAGTCGGGTTAGTGCAGCTGCCTCTGTTGATTTTCAAGCCCACGCATTACCTGCTTGCCCAGACTCGAATCCTGAAATGCCTAGAACAGTCCTGGACTTGCCGGTATAAAAGAGGCTGGTTCAGCGAAAGGATCAATTCAGTGATCGTTTTCATATTCTTCCAGAGCGGCCTAGGACAATTTAAGACGGAGTGTGAGCTTCAAAAGAAGCTTCGCCTCTGTTCGAGCGCCAGTTGTATAAACGGGATAACCTATGGCCTATTCGTGCCCAAGGCTAAGCTTTCCAGCAGATTTATCTCGCTAGTCCAGCGAGGAAAGATAGACGTAGGAGGATGCGATGAATCTAATGCCCGCGCCGGATGGTTCCTTTCAAAAGGTGGACCACTGCTTAATCGGCATGGAAAATTATGCCTTTTATTTTTCCGTGGCGATCTTACTGCAGTCCATTTAACCAACTCTTACCGGTTCAAAGGGCGATGTAATCTGGATAGTCACAAATAGGCTAGACGCTCTGGTAGCCAAGGTCTGCAGTCCGCTCTATAATTATAGCTAATTATTTAATCCCAGAATATATTTCTGTACAGTTAGAATCGGAATATTGTTAAATGTCATTAGCTCCCTACTTTCCTCTAAGTTTAGCTTTATCGTTTGTTGATCTTCGCTAGAGCTTGTCAACTCTAATGTGTTCGTTTAGTTCAGATTAGAGTTCTTTGTCGTCTAGGAACTAAAACATTCCACAATTCTATGAAAACAAATCATCACCTACTCGAATCGGCTGTTTCTCTTCAACTCAAGCGTGATTGCGACTTCAAATGTATTGAACACGCTATTGAAATACTGAGCTTTGCTGTTGCAGACGAAAACTCCAGGTATGAATTCATACATAGATGGTTATTTCATAATTACACATAAAAACCAAAATAATGATAGAGACAAGGTACGTAAAATTGATGCATTGGCAACCATATGAACCTTAATGCACTTTTCTAAATATTTTTGATTGGTGTGAGTCTAATGAAGATGATTGACTCAAAAACTTTAAAGGTACTATTAAGCATTTGTGAAGAATTCCGAATTGTTTCGGCTGACAAGGTGAAGTACACCGAAGAGGTGCTTAGACTATCGATGTGTTGGAGATGGCTCGCAGAAAAATGAAGGTTTGTTCTGACCTATAAAAATATCTAATACTATAGAAGTCACTGTTGAATTTAGCAAAACGTTAAATAAGATTACGTCCACTTAATTTGTTCATATCCGTTGAGCGGCTGAAAATTGCAATTTACCATGTATGTATTTTATTAGAGCTGTGCTTCGGTCTCATCATTTGTGCTATTTATATTCAGCCTATAAAATGCAAATACTGTGAAAAATCTGTTCAAACTAATCAAGTTATATTAAAGGATATCCATATTTATCTACACAATTATGCGCTTAGCTTAATCGAATTGTCAGCGGGTCTACTTTCTTCTCCACAGTCAGTACTGGAAAATCAACTAAGCCCAAGAATAATGATTTTAGCGTATAAAGGGAAAAGCAGAAGCCATCGCTATGCTATCGGGATAGGTTGACCCTTACGTTCGGTCTCAATTGGTGATTCCATAATAGAGATCTGACGGGGTCGAGCGTTGCTCCGAAATTTCTCACGCACCAACGTTAGTTAACTGCAGTTAATCATAAAGCGACCCTGGTAAAGCTCAGAGAAAATCTTTACTAATATCTAATTTTTAGTTAATTTTAAACACATCGTTAAGCACATTATCTATACGAAGCGGCTACTTTGATGTGAACGCGCAAAAGGTTCCGTTCAAATTTTGGGATGAGGTATACCTTTAACTAGCTGTTTAAATATTTCTGTCGTATATTCGAACACGTAGTTCGCGGAAACAGATCGGAATTATTGTGTGAGTCATGAAAATAATAAAAGCAATACATTTAGTCAAGACAGTAGTGAATAGTAATACTCAAAAAGGTAACAGATATCTTACAAAACAATAATGACAACTAAACGATACATAGAATTGTTCTCTAAATATTTTCAGCGTTGACATCATCGTGACCCGTATCAAATTTCCCAGCAAAAAACAAATGAGAAATTACAGTAGAACAAATGCAAAGACGTCGCAGAGCCATTGAATCATGTGTGGCTCATATTTGAAGGCAACCCTTACATATTTTTAGGAATGCATAAACCCGCATTATCTCAGACGACCGTCATGTCTCAGCAGTACTACAATTTGTCCTATTTGAGCCGTCAATCTCGTGCATAAACAGCTAGTTAAGTTGCATATGTGCTATATAGTGTGAAAAACGTGTGAAATTCGTAGCCTAAACATGATAATATTCGGTTTGAAACAGGATTTGGAGAAACATTATACCCTTTCCTTAAAAAGTACCAGCATTATGTCCGAACCAAGAGTTCTTGAAACCACCGTCAATCTGTAACTATATTAGGCTAAGTGTTTTCGAAAATAAGCAATTCGGGTAAGACCTTGTTCGAGCGGCATATAAGTACCCAGGGCAAGTCTCATTCTGGGTGCAGATAAAGGCTATCGACTTCTCCATACGACACCCAAACTCCTTCTGGCTATATATATCTTCAATTCAACCGTGGTCTTCTCCAACGTCGAATGGTGAATTTTTTTATTACTGCCAGTAGACTACAAATTTCACTATGATATAATTCTATCACTATAATTAATATATATATAGTGATATAATAACTATTATATCACTATAATTTAGGGCGAATGTTGATTATGTGTCGAAAATTTGATATTCAATAAGCTAAAGTGAATCAAACAATTTGAAGTTACTGTTTAGATTCACTTTTTTGCGGAGCCTAGTTCATTGTTGTAAAGCGGCATTAGATCTATGGTATACCACATGAGCCCGTGAAAGCTTACCAGTCCAACGAACGAGTCGAAATATGGACAGCAATCTCTAAGTAATTCATATGTTAGGATTCGAATGTTGCACGTCTGTCCCAGGCTTCAACATTGGAGCCGTTGAACCGTTTGGGCAGGATAGTTTGCTCATGCTTCAAATTGAAATGAAATTCAACAACATCCTCATTATATAAGTACCCCGATCGTGTCTAATTCTAGTTTCGAAACCCAATTATTTAACGGTCGTGAAACACAAAACTTTAGCCGACAGTCTAAACGAAGTAGAAAAACATTGCTGTTATCCAAAACTAACACTTGTTTTAAGCCAAGATTGAAGAATTTATTTAGTTTTTGATGAACTGAACTTGAATGAAATTTATGGAGTATTTCAGCATGATCGCGGCTGATGAAGCTCTAATCGTTATTTTTTTTTCGATTTATATGCTGTATCGTAATTGCAAGAAAAGTGCTTTTTTGCCCTTAGGTTCAAATGGTCCAATTACATTAGCTACGAGTACTTGTTACTTTTCTAAGATTAAATCATCATTATTATTATTACTCTTAGGTGTTACTAATCCTCTCAGTACAATCAGATAAAAATGATGTTATAAAGCAGTATATCCTATGGATTGCAGTAATAATACCATTATTACTAAAATATGTGTTTAGCTTTACATTGGGTACAGGAGCTAACCGATTTTTTTTAAAAATTCGTTCCAGTTTTTTGAGTGACTTTTTTTTTTAATTTTAGATCACAAATTGCTTTATAACATACCTGGTGATACAGTCCGATAAGTCACACATTTTCACACTAAATGAGCCGTAAATCTTCGAAAAAAAAGTCTATGTAAGTTTATATAATATATCACCATGCCTTTGCAAAATGTTGTTACTTTTAAAATTGCTGCATCTAAGTAAAGACATTAAATTTAAAAAAGATCATCAGGTATACTGATGATAAGCGTTCGAATTACCCGACGCAGTGGAGTACCCGCAACCAGGGCGACATAATGTTATGAAAGCGATCTTGTTTTTGAACTGTTCGGATAGTACGTTTCCATTGTGAAATCTACTCCACTTAGAGTATTTATAAAAGTGTGTGTTGTATCAAAGACAGCTTCAAACAAAATTTTTTGATTATCATGCTTGAGGCTCTATTTAAATCTGATCTTGAAGTCACGTAAACTCTAACTGACAGAAAGACCTCGTATAAAACAGACATGAAAAATGACTTTTGGCTGGTTTTTGTAAGAACTTTGTGAATTTGTTATACAATAAAGAAATAAATCATAACTTGCTCGGGTCCAAAGAAGTTATCACAGAATATGGCGAACAAATTGACGGATTTTTATCGGTGGAATTATTTTTTAATCTGGTCGTCTTATTCAAGGTCAAATGTAACCGTGATGAGAAATGAATCTTTAAAAGCAAGACCTTCTTTCTCATATACCTGTGTTGAAAAACAATATGCTTGGAGACACAAATAAAAACATATTTTTTGTCGAGAAAAAAGACCCTTATAACAAATTCCCCCTAAGAGGCATTATTACTATTTATTATTCGTGATACAACTAGGACAAATTTTTCTAAAAATTGAAAAAGAGCAAAACAAAGACATAAAAAATGATTAAAAAAATAATCGTCCAATAGGAAGCCGAAGTTTTCAGGCGGAAATAGCCTGAGAAGTTTTTAAATAAATAAAGCTCAAAAGGTTATCAAGTTTATGTCAAACGTTACGATTAAAAAATCGAGTTTACAGCCCACTTTTAGGGCCCATCATCAAAAAATCATTAAAAAAACACCGTAGTAACAAAACAGCCCTTTCTTCCTTGCAAAATTCTTTTCCCTTGTGGTCTCCATAGTGAAAGCGGTCCTATTTTTACAGTTTTTTTTACAGTTAGATAATAGAGTTCAGTTAGAAAACTTGAAAATTCGATATTGCCATTTCACGTTACAAGGACTACCTATGAACCTGTCGGCAACCTGCTGTTCTAGCCATAAACATGGCCATATGTCTATAATCGTTTACACCAATCGATAGTAATTCACGAGACTAAAACAAAAAACGTTTCCCTTTATAAAAAATGGTAATTATTATTATTTCCCGCCTACCGGCACGTAATTCACAATTGGCGCGCCACTGTGAGATTTGCCTGCTAGCCACCAGACGTCGCTGCTCGCTATCAAAATGGAGTCCTTCTGCTTTGGGTGGCTTCTTCTCTCCGTTCTGTGATGGTGGTGCTAGCAGCGGTGTTGGTTAACTGTCTACATCTCGCCTAGCGGCGCGGCTGCTACCGTAGCGGGTTTGGCTGCTGGTTGCTGCTACCGCTGCTGCTGGCTGGCTGGCTAGCTACGCTGTACCATGATGATGATGTTGGGCCGATCTCTCTCTCTCTCAGGTCTCAGTCGGTCGGTTAGTGTTTGAGTTGTGCTTGCTTCACTGCCTGCAGCTACTGGAAGGTGGCTGCATGAGAATTCGTCGGATGTGTCCCTTTGCCGCTGCTCCCGATCTCGTCTTACAATTCCGGTGGGATTCTACCACATGGAACCCACCTAAACTGACGGCAGTAGTGAAGTAGTGACGGCGGAAGAAGGCAGCGTATGCCGAGCATGTGAAACCGACGGATGTGTGTTCGTTTAGAGAGCGAGCAAGAGAGACAGAGACAAAGCGAACGAGAGAAAGAGAGAGCGAGAGAGCTCTCATAGAGAAGCTAGAGAGCTCCATTGGATTGTTGTCTGGCCGCCGTCACAGTGTGCAGGTCGTGCGTCGAGTTCGAAGCGTATTGAGGAACAAGCGCTCGTTCGATAGAAGGGTGAGAATCAGTTTTTCGTCGGCCACCATCGAAACAGACCGGTCGTCGCACCAGCTATTATTGCTATGACGGCAAGCACAAGTACGAACCTGTCAATTCACAATTCGGTTAATCGGTTACCCTGACCGGGAGCTCTCGGTTGCCACCGTTGCGGCCGTGTCGAATCACAAAACTATTATCGCCGCTAGAGGGAGTGCAAGGGTCGCCGTCACTTACTGCATCCCAAATCAGTTGAAATGAAACGAAGCGTTGGCGTACAACTTGAATGAACAGCAGCCGAACGAAGAAGGTGAGCGTGGAGACCGGCGAGATAGCGTTAGATAGAAAGAGTTGCTACATGTGTGTAGATGGCCAGCGTAACAGGCTCTGGCGTATCGTTGCTGCCGCTCGCCGTCGCTCGACATACCGTCTAATCATTGTCTGTCTCTCCGTCTGATCTATTTCTATCCGGAATCGTTGTGCTCTGATGTTTGCTACGGATCATGTTTGTTTCGGTGTATACATATGATTATATTGGTGGGTAAGGCAAGGACGAAAACAGTGTCGGGACGGTATTCCAGCAGTACAGTTTAGGTAAGGGCGCATTCGGCCGTGTAGAGATCTATAGTCGAGACGAAACGCTATAGCGAGCATCCATTTTTACTCTCCTCAGACCATACAGTGGCTATATGAGCGTATTAATGGAGCAGGAGTTCACTTAGTGAAGGATGGTTGTGGACTGAGTTATTAGTCCCACCTAGTCAGCTCGGACCTCGCTCGATACAAGTGAGTTCCCTGCTCCTGAATCAGTGTGTACATATAGCAGAAGCCGGCTGGAGAGCAATGCACTTGACCCCCCCCCCCTGGCCCCGTGAGGAGTGAGATCCAACGAAGGAGCTACTGCAGGTGAGTCGAAGGCGTTTGTAGTAGTGCTGGTTATTTGGTGCTCAGTGGATGAAGAAGCGATGCGCTGACCGCTCCTAAACAAAACAAAAAAAAAATAGATACTTGAAGTGTGTACGTGACACCACGAGCATCATCGGGATATTACTGTTAATCCCCAGGCCAGTATAACAGCGACGGCAACATCAGCAACAATAACGATTGGAATAAGTCGATGCACCATTTGGATAGGGTGCATCCGAGAGCGGAAGTAATAATTAGTGCGAGTGTGATAAAAAGCAAAGAAGAAAAAAAAAAAAAGAGCGACCTGCCTTCCCAAAAAATGTACATGCCCATTGTGCAAGCAGTATAACGATAACAACATATAGTGTATGTGCTATATATTATGCTATTGCCCTAAGGATAACTAATAACGCCTACACCCAAAGAAATCGACCCGTATGTACAATGCTTCTAACGCTCTTTTTCCACTTGGCGAGTAACTAGGAAGTGTTCCAGTGCTCTAAATTAATATCTGGGCTCTCGTCTGTACGTTAGAGGATAGCAAAACTTCCTTTCTTGGCATAGGAGAATTTGATACAAAGGTAAGTGGAAACACAGAGTTCCAGTAGCTAGTGTTCTGACTCCCGTAAATCCCCCTATCGCCGGGTGGCCCAAGTCTCCATACTTGTACCTACCCCCGGGTATTTAACACACCTGTTATTTATACCTTTAAGTCCGTACACATACGGAGCCTTTCATCTTCGTAGCTGTATCGGTGCGAAGTTTATTATTGCCTTCGATGCGCCTATTTCTGCTAGGAGACACGAGGGGGAAGAGAAAGCTGATTTTCTAGTGGACTATCGGCGAAGCTGGAACCGCGGTTCGCATAAGATCAAATTGCAATTTTTGGTCATACGAACAGAGCTGTTTCTCAGATTTGGAGACAACTGGGCTGAGTCCTCGCCCTCTTTGCTATCTTACTACTTTCAACAACTGTACTGCAATTACCACTTCTGGATTCTGTATATTGCGTCAATCCTTGCTGTTAGACGTCCCCAACTGATAGATGGTAGTATGCCGTTTATGAGACCCGATAGGCCCAAGTAAAACACGATTGAAGCTCGGGCGTTGGTAATACAATGACTGGCTCGGCCGAGACAGAGTGAGTTTGTGCCAGTTTTTGAACCCCATTAAGAATGCTATTGTTCTTACAATTAGTACAGTAGTTGTCGATTGCAATGTTAATGTTAGTTCAGTATAGTCGTCTGCAAATGTGATTGCCGCTCGGTGTTGCCGGCACTGCTTTCAAAAATGTAGCTTAAAATTCACTGTAGTTATGCTGCAATACAATTTAGCATCGGAGGTAGGTTATAGCGTGGATTGGCCCGAGCAGTCATAACAGTGCTTAACAGCAGTACGCAGTACGTACAAACTCGAAACGTTCATTGGACTTGATGGCGGTTTATGCATTCGTTATTGCATCCATTCAGTTTTTCCAAACAAAATGCTCGCTTTTAGTTATTCTCGCACAAATGCATAAATACAGGTTATATGTAGTGTAACGCTTGAGCAGGCACAAACAATGTCTGTGCGCAAACGTAACCGTTCTTGAACGGTGATAAACGCGAACGCTTTTGCGAAGAATTTCCGAAAGAAGAACTCTCTCAGCAGATAAATTATACGAGATTTAAGGACAGCAAAACGTACTGCTCAGGCGAAGTGTGAGTAAATAAGGTAGATGCATTGGTAGCGGCACTAGCGGTGCTAGTGATGGGGCTAGGTGGGCAGGGGACTTACACTTCCGTGGGCAGTCAAGCAAGTTTGCATGGGGTAGTATATGAATCTGGGGTTGTGGGAAGTTGGTGTGTTGGTTCATTGATACGAAAGTAATTCGTTAATGGTTTAATCTTGTGTTCAGGAGATCTTAGGCCGCCTCACCGCCAGCATCCCGGGGAGTTGGCCCGGGCTTGACCGAGCTGACTCAGTCAATGCGTTGCATTGCACCACGATGGTATGTAGTTGATGGGCTTCTCGTTCTGCTCCTGAAAGCCGTCGCTGATGCTTTCAACAGTAGTGGCGGCGACAAGTCACCGTTTACCGCCATAGAGTGGCCGGCCCCATTTAGATGGTTGTTCATCCACTACTAAATATAACAGTGCCAGGACAGCCCGTCTGGTCATTTACTTCCCCCTAACTGTTATAGGCCGCCTTAAGTTTCGTGTGCCTTTCAAGCATGCCGCATGTTTACGGCTCGTCCTAGAGTTTTTGCTAGATATCGTGTTTGCGCGCGAAGTCTTACTTTGCGTGTACTACCTCCCTTTTCCCAAACCCCCGCTGCTGTTGATAAATAACTGTCTGGTGGGACTCAACGAGCATGAGAAAAACAGGGCTTGGGCGTTTCGAGAATTCAAGGGCTACCTTAACGTCAGGCGATCCTGCATCCCTCGGCCACTCCAACGGCTTGTGATAAAGATGGATACGCACTTACTATCTTAGCTGAGCTTAAACTAACATATCGCTATTTTTTTTTCTATTTCCGCAGCGGTTACGCATGCTCCAAGCGGGTACTTATCAAAACAATGAAGCTATATTTCTGGAAATCAAGACGATTGAAACTTAGTGTCTGTTCTTCGCATTTTGCCCATAAACGCCTTTGTCGAAAAGGCCTATTGTTGCTAATAATATGATTAGTAATGGTAAGGCCGATGGTGCAGTTTTCTCTGTGCAAACGTCGATATTGGTCATGGCAATATAGAAGTAGAAAAGGGGAACGTCATTGGTGCATTCGATTAGAAAGAACATTTAAATGCCGACCAACTGGTAGGTATAGGGCGGGTACCATTTTAGCTGTATCTTGGACCACCAAAACTGTACAAAAACTGCTTTTCAGCGAACGAGTAGATTCGAAAGTGACACGCTCACCGGGAAAATCTACTACTGCAGATTTTTCGTTTGTTAGGGTATCTTCCGATTTATATACTACTTTATCAGATATATATACTAGAATGTTATCAGTCACCGATTTTGGATCAGCTGTTATATATATGTGTCCGATGAGAATTTAATGAACAACCCAGAATTCTTCGTTCGACTCTCGCCAATGTTCGTTTTATGATAGAAAGATGCGTCTTTTCTAAACATTAATGCGTCTAATCCGAAGTAGTTTGACACACGTTTGTTTCATCTTAACAAGGTCTTTCTCCAGTTACACGGAACACTGGTGTACACGTAAATAGTAACGTGATGTCACTTTTCGTCTGACCCAGCTCGAACACCACTGATACTTCTATTTTGTGTTCGTTTCTCCCAAATGCTGCAGCGATAATAGCAATAATATCAACGTGTTGAGGAATCAATCGCTGGAGCTAGATGCTGCATATAGTTCATCAGAAAAATCTACAGGTTAGTTCGCGTATATTATAGGACCAGCCGAGCAGGACAGTGTTGAGAACGTTGGCGGCTCTCGTTAAGTTCTTTCCTTGAGTTGCTGTGGACGTTTTTCGCTATTTTCGTGCGCTTTTCGGTTTCGTTTAAATTCGAAGTGACGATGTAAGTTTTAACTTCTACTGCCCTTATTAGCTGTTGTATGGCTGTGGGCCAACGTCGCTGCCGTCAGCTGAGTCTATCAGCAATCAATAGCATACTAACCATTAGTAACGCGATCACACTTTTCGAAATACCGAGGAAATACGAGCAGAAAAACTGGCCAGCCAGCTAACAACCGTTGAAGCAAAGGACAGGTAACTAACTGCCTAGCGAACTTCCGTGGCTTTGTGTTTACTATAGAGATAGTTAGTAAGATAGCTCAACTCGACGAACTGCGCTATTACTCCTCCCATGACGGACTAATAGATAGCGAAAGTAGTGGCATACAAATCTGTATATGTAGTACAGAGCTCGCCACTTCTGTCGACAGCTATAATTGTCAACGCGTAGGGAAACTTGTGACGTCTCGCAGTGAAGGAGCGAGGGCGCCAGAAAACAGAGAGGTTAAGAAGGCCTCCAATGATTCGGGAATGTCTGTCAATCGAGAGTTTGACCTCTCTGTAATGATCATGTCGAAGGCGATGGAAAAGCCGCAGTGGTGCTGGCAGAGCAGTGAACGACAGCACTCGATGTTTACATAATATCTCCAGGAGTAAGTAAATTAGCCTTCTGAAATGACGTCAGCCTCTATCGAATATATATATATATATATATATATTAACGATATCATTTGTTGGGTGCTGCTGCTGAAAGTGTTGGTCCAGCACCCAGTTGGGGGAAACCAAACCGAATGTGAGTTAATACGAAGCTACGATGGCGGCAACAAAAAAGGCCAAATGATATTTCTATGAGCGGCTACTGGTATGGTTTGCAGCGACTGGAAAATAAAAAACAGACGTTTGTAGATGGCTTTTATTGCCTTGATCTAGCATTAGCTAACAGGAAATGTTAATAAATATCTGTGTTATTCAGAATTATTTAGAATTAGTCGGTCATCGGACGCGGGTGTGGCTTCTTTTTGCTTACTGTTTACCCTACGGCTATATATGTGTATGCTAGAGTGTGTTACTCGGCCGAGCGTTTACGAATCTGTGGCTAGCAGAACTAGCTCTCATTTATGTAACTAAAGGCTTGTTTCTCAAAGGTGCTAGCGATTTTCATACCAGCTACTTCTCAGCTTAGTTAAAATATGAGGGCTTGGATCAGTGGTAGATTGAGAAACAATGAGAGAACGTTATAGTGAACATAAAGCTGGAAAAATTTAAAATAATTATTCCAGAAATTGCAGGTGGTGCAATAATAATAAGACGCCAAAATTCAATTATTGGCTATAAAATCATCGTTAAATCGAATGCCCGTAGGAAAGATACTAGAACTATCCTTCCGAGTGTCAGCATATGAGCTTTACGAAGATTTTCCTTCCCTGTATGAATATCATGACTAAACACAGAAATTTTTGGGCTCGACTGTATAATGGCTGGCAAGTTATAATAATAATAATAGTAATAAATACTTGACTTCTCAAAGGCCTTTTAAAACATATGCTCTGTGTTTCACTATTAGTACTGCTATATTATTAATATTACTATCACTATATTATTAACTGCGAACGCTCAACAAAAGTTACTGTTTTTACTGCATTGCTGCTTGGAGTTGATTCACTATCACAAACATACCATGGCTTCATGCTGATCTCATCAATTCACTAAAATTCACTAAAAAAAAAAAATTAGTTAAAAGTCTCTAGATTTTTAACTTTTTTCTCATACGATTTCCTTGCGAATTGACTCTACTGTGATTGACTTCGCTGCTATATACCCGAGAGTTATTATTATTATCGGAAGTAACAGCGTTTGGTCAAACCCCGCTGATCAGCATGGATGACGCGCGGTTCGCTTCGTGGCATATCGTGGAAAGATTCAGCGGTAAAGTTCATGGAAAAAGCTAGTATCCGTCCTTATGTGACCATGATATTATATTGTATCATATTACTAATGCCTAATTGTTTACCCTTAGTTTTTCCACTGCTTTTCCTAGTCTCTACTGCCTTTCGACTTCCTCATGCCTTCTAAAGTTTCTTTTTCCTTCCTGCGTGGCACGACATCTCTGAAATTCG